CTCCAAGTTACTTCCTGCTGAAATGGGACGATGATAGTCATGTGGGGTCCTGAGGGAAAAAAATATTAGTGTAGTAAAAGTCTTGAATGAATTGTATCCAGTCCATGTTAGATGGGATTCACTTGATTGAAGATCTCGCTTGAAATCCTCAACGTGATTGAAGTCAGTACCCGAACCTCTGGCGGGAGCCATGCCCCAAGGTTCCCAGAGAAAGAGGTAAACCTGCTGCCACAGCCTGCCCTGTCGGGCCACTGAGAGGCATCGGAGCAGCTTCCATATGCTGTTGCTGTCCCGGCACTTCTGGAGTTTAGACTCAGCATTTCTGAAATGATAAAGACAGATCCAGATAAAGTAAAACCTCTAAAGGTTTACATTACATTTAAAAATATATGTAGGCTTGTGAGAGAAAAAATAACAGGAAGAAATATAGTAGCTGGTTATGATGGCCAATGCAGGTAGGATTTGCTAAAGGAAGTAGAGGCAAGCAGATTTCCACAAAGAAACCCTATCTCGGAAAAAAAAAAAGAAAGGAATAAAAAAGCCACATAAAAATGGAAAATACAAAGAAAATCTGGATACTATATGCTATATTGTTGTCTTTAAATTGTTTGATTGCTGAGGAAAGACTTACTGCTGCTAAAATACATTTGATTATAAATGCTGCTAAATTAATCCAACTTATACATTTTTAAAATGCTCTAACCTCAAAATTTAAGTTTAAGGACAGGCTACTTAGAAATAAAGGTTTTGCTTGTATTTCCACAGAAAATAAAAAGCTGTGGATTCCTTCCAGACTAATATGGTTTGATGAAGCAAGACCCCCCTGAAGCTGAGATGATACAGCCTTACAGACTACAAAAACAAGGACTTGGTCAGGTTTCTATGTTTTATCATGTTCCCAATGGTATGCACATCGCCCCAAATCAGCAGGAAGCAGTTCAGAAAGAACGATGCCCATATTCCCAAATATTGTTTATAAATGTTTGTTTTCATTTAAATGGGGTTACTTATAAATAATAATGAGCATAGTCAATCTCTTTTTAAAGAAATAAAAGGGGAATAGGATATAGGAATGAATACTTTGCATTGGTATAGATTTTCATTTATTGACACAACTTTAAGGTCAATTTTGTGATATGTATATGTCTCCTTTTGTTTAAGTATTGTGTTTATACAGATCTTTTACCAATAATAGTCCGAACTTATAAATAGGTTAGTTAGGTTTTCTAGATATACAGAGATATATTTGAGATGGATAGGTATTCTTCAAACCTTTCAAAGACCTACAGAAATATGGCATTTAAATGGTTTAGGATTTTTCTTGCCAGTGAGACACAACTGCTCCTGGCACACCAATTACGTCAGAAAGGAGGATGGGCATGGAAGAAACTCGTTATGGAATTTATTTTCAACATGGCAAGATTAGCCTTTTGGGTAAGAAACTGCTCTTGCCTGGAATGTTTGTTGCTGTATAAACTGGACATACAGGACCCACAAGAAAGTGACTGCTGAACTTACAAAACAAGACAGTACAGAAGGGTTCCTGTTAAAATGGAGAAGTGTGCCAGACACACTGTGGCCTATGGGCTGAAGATGGATGTCCCAACGTTACAGAGAAACTTTGGGTGACTGTCCAGGTAGCGGATGTCCTGTCAATTCTAGAGTTTATATATTTTCCTTCTGTGGTCTTTGATGGAGTTGATGACAGATAGTTATGGTTATAGTTTTCTTCAGTTATTATAAAAGATAAGTTACCCTTCTTTTTATTTAGACAGAAAAGAGGAGATGATGGGGGAAATACTTCTATATATGTTTATCTTATTGATTGTTAAATAAAGTACTTGCTTGTTAAATAAAGTACTGTCTCACAATGAGACAGCAAGTTAGGCTGGACTAGGAGTCAAAGAGGATTCTGGGAAATGTAGTAGAGAAGTGGTGTTCCAGACAGGAAGTGACATAGCAAGGAGACTCATATTTAAGAGGAGGAAAAAGGAAGTGTCGCTCTCTTTTTCTGTTCCTGCTCCAGTGGCAGGATGTGATTCACCAGCAAGGAGGGACGCCAATAAGGTATCCGATAAGATAAGTCTTATAAAATATATAGATATATGATAATTGAGACTGAGCTAACAGATGAGAATCCTAGTCATTGGCCAAGCAACATTGTACCTAATACAAGTCTCTCTGTATTTATTTGGGCCCTAACTCAGCAGGCGGCTGGTGTATAGCCCACACGTGGCGGTGGGGCTCAGGCGGCTTTTGGCGGAAAGATTTATCATAACAGAGTTCTGCTGCTGCTCTGTTAGGACAGTTGTCTGAATTCAAGAGCTTTTACATGAAAGCTTGTAAAACTCACTTAGGCCCAGGTGCTCCTATTCTCTCCTTTCCATAAAGGGGGTAATTAAAAGTGTGAATAACATTTCCCCCTTCAAGTGTTATAGTGGGGGTAGAACTGCAATTACAGAACACCAGCCACCTAGCCAAGGCAAAACAAAAGGTCTGAGTTTTGTTTGTTCTGGTTTTTCAATATGGGATTTTTCTGTATAGTTGTGGAACTCTCTTTGTAGACCAGGCTGGCCTTGAACTCAGAGATCTACCAGCCTCTGCCTCCCAAGGGCAAAGATTAATGATATGCATCAACATACCCAGCTTAAAAGTTCTGTTTTTAAATGAGTATTGATGAAATATTGGCCAAAGATTTCAGTGTTGTTGGAGATCTACACTGGGCAGAGGGAGAGAGTTTAGGACTTGGTAACCTGATAAGCTTTGCCTTCCAGCTGGGGCAACACTGGGCTGAGGAATGATCCTGAGCACAGGGTCCTCTTTTGTGAGAGGGGGAAGAGAACACCTGCTGATTTACTGCGGTCAGGAGTAGTGATGCTTCACATGTATCAGGCCGCTGGTTAAATACACATGTATTTATAATCGTTTCCTTCTCTCTTTGCAGTGATTTAGGATGCCCTCATACACATTTTACATTTCTTGAAACTAAATATCAAGATCTATTACAGAACTAATCTGAAAAAAAGGAAGATTAATTATACTATATTGTGTATTTCAAGTAAGTTCTTGAAGCTGAGCCCTATTTCAGGATCATACAATTCCTAATAAGCTTGTATTTTCAGACTAGAAGTGCCCATGGTATTTTCCTGAAAAAATTGTTTTGGTAAAGCTCTGTAATTAAATTGTTACAGATTGTCTCACATATACCTTTTGCATTAGATCATATAAAATTAAAAAAAATAGAATGTGAGTTATAATACTAAAGAGAAAAAACAGGCCAGTTATAGTCATGCCTTTTTATACAGAAACAAACACCCTATGATGCAGCTACATTCAAGCCCTTAGCTACAATTGGAGGTGAGTGTTAGTCATGAAGCCAATAGTGGAAACTTTGTAGGAGGATTTTCTTTAATTTGTTTCTGAGGCAATCCAAATAAGATGCTTAAAGACAACTTGGGGTGAAAGATTTTCAAAACAGACCATAAATAGTGACTGCACCCATACATTGCAAACCATGGTTTAGTCACTTATGACATTTATCAGAATATAACATTCAAATAAAGGTTATTTACTTAGGAAAAGGTTCATATGTCTTGACTTCTAGCCATGTTCTGTATCACATGAGAAAAGCTGTATTGCTTCTAATGATTCTGAGAAAGACAAACTAAGTTCAGGAGAACAAAGCTTGATCAGTTGTATGCACTGCTCTACCCTTGCACTACAACTATAGCTGTCACAGCAAGCATAGGTTCTCAATACAGATGGATTAATGAGTGAGTCACGTTAACTGCATTGTGCTACCAGTCCCTGATTGGGGATGACACTAAGTCAGTCTATCATACCTCCTGTCTGCTACCTTCGCTGTTTCTTCCTATCCCTCTACTGCTTTCCATGCTAGTACCCCACGGAAGTCCCCATCATGGCTGATTTCCTCTCTCACCCTTCTCTAACCTGTACCTTGCTCAAAACAAAAGGGTCATCCCTGAAATGCTGTGAGCAAAGCGGCAATCAAGCATAAATTCTCTCTTCAAATGTTTTATCTTTCACAGAGGGCAAAAGTCAAGCCTCCATTTGTGGGGCAATAGAGAAAAATCAAGATTCATTTTTCACATTTTATATGATTTGCAGTCATTGAAACAGATAACAAACTACTAAATATACTCTACCCTCCTACCTTAATAATTACACATTCATGATGACTCCACAGATCCAGTTCAAACTGAGGAAACTCAGACTCCTCCAAGTTGCATAATATAGCAGGAAAAAGAGTATCAGAAGACCCAAGGACCCAGCTCTTAACCTTTTTCCAACTTTTGTCTCAATGCAACTCCAGCCTGAGCCCCAAAAGCCATTAGGTTCACACTTCTAGACACTGGACTCATGAGTCACTTCCACACTCTTCCAAAGCACAATCCTTTGGCTAAACCTCAGGCTCACACATATACACACAACTATGAGATGGTGCTAGAAAAGGAGCATTATAACCCCTGGGCTTGACCAAGAGCTTCCTGCGTCCTGAGCAAAGGGTGTGTGGTCTGATGACTGCAAGAATATCCAACAAACTCATGGCCCTGTGAGAAAGTGTATAATCCAAAGAAATCCAAACTAGGATCCTCAGGCACAAGTCTAATACCCAGGCATTAGTGACTGAGCAACAGTACATTAGAGCTCTCTCTGTCTCTCTCTGTCTCTGTCTCTCTCTGTCTCTCTGTCTCTCTCTCTCTCTCTCTCTCTCTCTCTCTCTCTCTCACACACACACACTCACATACACATCTATATAGATCTCAGCTTTGTAAACTGTGGGTTGTATAGCTGAATGTATGGCTTGGAAAAACAAACATGGTAACAGTAAAAGTTTAGTGAGCATATGACAATCAAAATCAAATACAGAATGGGTCCAAGGTGTTTCTGGAGGTTTTCCCTACCCCATGCAGTTACACAAAAGTCTTGATTCTGAACTGGATGCTGACAAAACCAAAAATGCTTTGGTTCAGACCAAACCTATGACAGGCTATAAATTAATGTACATACAATAATTTCTGCTCCTATAAAACAATGGCTTAATTATATCAAAGAAAGCTTCTTAATATTTTTATGATAGCAAACAAAGTTTTTTTAATATTTTCCTGCCACCATTCCTTCTGAATTAGTATACATTTGAATGTTTGATTTTTAAAATTGCAACTTGAATTATTGCCTTCAACCTCTTTTTAAACCACTAAGTAAATTTTGGCTTGGGGTTGAGATATAATTTTCAACAATTTTGGAAGTGGACCCTAAGTGTACCTCTGCTGTTTTGCACTAACCAACATTCTTCTTACTAGTGACAACCACATGAGCAAAATATGGACCTCCTCTCATAAAGGTGGAAGATGCTCACAGTACCAAATGATGAGACAAAATTGAATCCTTTGTGTAAACATAAACATTCGTCTCATTTGTCTTCAACATTACTTACATTTTTTCCTCCATTCCTTCCATTTTTGTTTGTCTTTTCTTCCATTTCTTCTCGCATTTTTTGGTTGTCTTTTTCTCCATTTCTTCCAATTTTGAAAATGTGTAGCCCAGGCTGGCCTCGAACTCATGATCTTCCTGCCTCTGCCTCCTTCAGCGAATCCTATTGGTGTCTTTTCATAAATTGTAAAATTACATGGCTATCAAAGAACTGTTTAAAGAGAGATTTATGATTTATTTCCAGTAAGCATTTGTATGTCTTTTTTACATAGCTATATGGCAGGTACTGTATAAACCTCACAGGCAATATGGACTGCTCCAGATGACTGCTATGCCTGCTCTCAGCATGTGTTTCAACTTTCATCATTTCTGTACTTGGAACTTCAGCATTTCTCCCTCCATTGCTTCTCTCCCTGTCCATGAATGTGCATCCATCTCCCTCTGGAATTCCAACGCTATAGTCATGCAGCTCTTTTCCTTCAGCGCCAAATGTCTAAACAACAGACTCCAACCTCTCACTCAAGAAATACCATCTCTCAAATCTTCACTCTGAGACTATGATTGCCAACTATTGATAAAATGATTCAGACGCTTCTGCCAGCAAGAGTGCAGATAAATAGCTGGAGAAGTGCGGAAACAGCAAGAACGTTTTAATTGGAATTGTGGAGCAATTTTTATACTTCAAATTATAAAGAAACTGGAGTGCAACAAACAGAATATTGAAGTGAAATTAAGTATTTCTTTATGCAGTCAATATTAGAGTGCAAAGAATCTCTCACAGAAGTTAATAAGTGTGCAGACTCTACCTTTACCTTATGGATTCTGCTAATGTGTTCTTTTCTGTATCTTCAAGTGTCCAAATGCATTGGCTACCCCAGTCAAGAGGGCAATTCGGAAGCAGATTGCCATAACTGTGTATGCACAAATGTCCCAAAGAATCTATAGATGGGAATTTTGAGTTTGAGCTGAAGAATGCAAAAATTATGTATCTATCTGGGACAAATTAGAAGTCCTTTCAATAGTAAATTTAGGCAACAAATGACAGAAGTGTTAATTATGTAGGAGTTTGTCTAGGAGAAATCACTCATTTTAAGTACTAGTATTCATGCAGACCTCAAAGTGGTATTTCACACACACACCAGTGCCCAATTAATCAATGAATACTTAGATTTACTTACTATAACTTTATTTTTTATGCATCATAATTGTATTTCAATGTAGTGGTTTCCCTATAACTTAGATGTCCCATTTGCAAGCATTTAAAAACATGCTGAGAAAGCCTCCACAGCTCCAACTGCCAACAGGCAGCATAAAGGAGCAAAAGGTTAAGAATCCCTGGTTTAAATGTGTTTGTGATCCCAGTTCAGATCCCCAGTTCTCTTTAGCTAAATTATAGGAAACAGGCCCTTGCTTGGTTCTGGTAGACGCTGATTAAGAGGAAAGGCACAACAGTCGCAGTTCCCTATCAGACAAATTCAGTACTTGTCATTTCCAAGGATACAGCTTCTTTATTTTCCGTAAAATAAAATCACATTCCACAGATGCCAGATCCCCCTATCACTGGCTTACAGATGGGTTTCCTGCCAGACAACAAATGCGACTGCCAGGACTCCTGCTCTGACACTCTGATAAGGTTGGAGGCATGTCTTAGAAGGAAACAACATTCTCAAGGCAAATGATTGTTCCGTGAGGGCCTTCTGACACTGTCCATATGCAATGAAGTAGTTAAGTCAATAAGATCTGAAGCACAGGGTCACTCTGCTTTACTTCAGTCAATAATAAGAGCACTTATCTCTTGCTGCTTTTTATATATTATGATGACAGTGGCTCTGCTGTGTAGTGTTACTACGCCCTAGCTCCCTGTCATCTTAAGTGTAAGTGATACATAGACTATGTATGAGATAGTAAAAATGTGGGACTATAATTTAATGTATAGCACATGGATACTGTTTATTTATATTGTGTTTAATCTTTAAAATTTGTATAGTTGTAAATACCCATACATCTTTATATGTGGCAGACATATTTTGTATCTCTATATATTATGGAGCTAAGTATTTAGAATTTACATTATTCTAAGTATGCCTACACCTTTTTATGACAGATGGAAATATCAGCATTGGTAGTTCTCTCACAGGAAAAATATTTGTGTTTCTAGTCCTTAGTTGCTTTCAAATGTAAATCACAACATGCATTCCTATGTACTGCTAAAACATGACCATCTTAAACAGAAAAATCAATACCTATCTTTATCTATTGTACTGTCAGAATGTGAAAAGTTTGCTTTGTTCTGTAAAGAGGGCGGTAACTTGGAATCAAGGAGTTAGCAGGTTACTTAACAAATTTTATAGGCACAAAAATGTCCTTGAAATCAGTGGGTGTTTTGTTCAAGGAAACAAGGAAAGGCTTATAGCCTTGTGCCCTAGTTTCAAAATGAATTTTTGTTCACTACATTGACAGTATTTATTGCTCAATTCCTTTTAGCAAGTACAGGCATGATATTGCCTTGAGTTCCTTTAAAATTTGGGGGACAAAGTCTGAAGAGAGAAAAGTTCCAGAAATGAACATTAGAGATTGTCTTTTACCTATGGCTTCATCGACTACATAACATCAATTTATAGACTATTGGTTCATTCATGCATATAGCTGAGGTACTGGTTTCTTCAAATGGCTAATATTAATTGAAATAATACACAAGTATACTACCTGGAAGAAAGCAGCTGCTCAATAAATATTAGCTCTCTTACTTCTTTTGTGTTTAATGATATCGATAGACATTATAAAGCAGAGTTCAATGAAGCATCCACTTTAGTAAAAAACAAACAGAAATTAGGAACAGGGAAGTGGCTCACTGAACAAAGCCCTCGCTTTGCACAGGAAGACCTGAGTTCAAGTTTCCAAAATCCACAGAAATATGGACATTGTAGCAAATGTCTGTATTCCCATCACTCAATGGCAAGATACAAAGTGGAGACAGGAGAATCTCTGGAAGTTCACAAGCCAGCAAACCTGACACAGATTGTAGTGACGTAGAGAAAGAGACCTTGTCTAAATCATGGTGGGAGGCAAGTAATAACACCTGAAGTTGCCTTTAATCTGTACACATGAGCTACACTATACACATATGCCCATAGTCACCTACATAAATACACATATACATACACACATACACCCACAAGATACTTTTAAAGGGAAATTACAAAGTAAAAATACCCCCCATCCCTTGAAAAGCATAAAAGAGCCTGTGGAGTGGTGAACACTGTGGTAGAAAGGAGAACATAATTCTAGATGAATCCATAGAAATTCTGAGTATTCAATAGCAGGATATAAGGCATGAGAAGGCAGCATTCAATGTGCTTCAGAGTACAACTGTTAAGAATCACTTAGGAGTTCTCAGTGTTGTAGCCAGGGAGACCTCCTCATTGATAAAGAAGATTCCTAAAGATTGTGAGGAAACCTTGTCACCTAGTGCTACTCTTTTGGCGTCATTGATACTTTTAACATTTTTGCTTATTTACTTAGTATTGAATTAACTCAGATCCAGATGCCAAAGAATTTACCTAGGGCCCGCAATCATACATAGTGTATTAAAACCTATAGCAAAGTCTTGATTCCTATTAAGTAACCAATTTCATCTGTGATACTGCTTTTCATGAGAGAAAAATAAAACAGAGCCCCTAGCCAAAGGGTGAATGGCTCTCAGGTAGTGTTCCTGTTGTAATTTTAAAAAGCAGCACTCCTGAGAAAGGCACCATGTGACAGAGTTTGGGTGGAGGCATTTTTCTTGGGGGAAAGTGGATGGGAAAAGAGGGGAGAGAAGAAAGGAGACCAGCTTCTGTGACAAGAATGACTGAGAAGAGAGAGGGGGGGAAGGAGACAGAAGGAGAGCTGGGGAGCCCACTACTGGTGGGAATGCCAACTCTTACAGCCACTTTGGAAATCAATATGGTGGAGCCTCAGGAAAATGGAAATCAGTCTATCACAAAATCCGGCAATTCTACTCTTAGGCATATACCCAAAGGAAGCACATTCATACAACAAGGACATC